CGCACAAGTCTCAGTCCCGCCGTCCGGGACTCAGTGGCCGGGACAAAGCGTTCACTTCGTGTTTCCTTGCGAGGACTCCTTGGTGAGTACAACAGGCCCTACAGTGTATTTCCAAAGTGCGCCAGTGAGGCGGACGAGACTAGCGTCGAATCTGCACTTATGACGTTGGGCGATGGTAGCAACGGCTTGCAGCAAAGATTTCCTGGCAAAGGACAGGAATTGCTTGCCAGAGACGTGACGGTAGCGGTGGTGATAAAGAGGGAGAGTCATGGCTGTAGTACTAGAAGTCAGTATGCGGAAGTACGACAGCCTGTGCATGCTAGCACACCAGCGGAGGCATCATGAGAGAGCCCACTGCTGATATGCTATACATGCAGAAAGCAAAGAGAAGTTGACAGATACCTTGCATCCACTTTTGCATGTTTTAAAGACCAGGGCAGCTTGGACTGACACATTGAGACCTGCGGTTATGTACACTCCATACCCGCCAAAGGGCATCAAAGCAGGCTTGAAGTGCAACATAACCACTTGCATACCAAGACTATGGAGGTGGAGAGGAAGTGAACGATGTGCTGGCAGAAATCCCTTAAACGCGGTATCGGCAAAGCGCATCCTGAGGAGCGCCCACAAGGAGGTGGAATTATCATTATTGCAACGATAGCAGGGCTGGTGGTCACAGCAGGGGCAGCACTAAATATCATCGCAGTGTATTAGGGTTGTGGGCTCCGGTACAGTCACTGCGCACGCGACCACACAGGCAACACCATCATGCTACTTCCATCAGCAAGCCCTCGGCCACGGCCTAGTGCCTACATGCGCCGTCGCTCTGCGACTCCTTTGCGGGCACGTCGACCTGTATCACAGGGATGTCGGTGCCGCCACTCGGCACGGTCTCGTGCGGCGCAGCCCTGCTCATTGAGACCTTGGTGGCATCTATCACACCAAGCGTGTGTGCTATCACATGGGGAGGCGACATCCTGTGCGATGCGAGTTGAGAACTAGTCAGGAGGGACCTGCAGAAAGTCAGTTGCACCAGCACAGCCAGAATGACGAGCAACGCAATAACCAAGAGGGCCATAATGCGGAACGTCGACGTGGTGCGCTCAATCCATAAGCTGGCTTTATTGTACAGGTACACAATGTAGATACTCCACATAGAATTTGTTCCGGACTTGAGCTTAATCTGCAGGCCGACGTCAACAATGAGTCAAAAATAGAAACAAAATCTTTACTGACACGTCGTGCATGCTCAGCTTCTCGGCAAGCCGCTTCCGGAAGTTGTCCTCCGTGTCGCTGAGCTTCCTCCGCAGCACATCAACGTGGTCCGACATGTCAAGATGCGCTTGTGCAGGCGCAGCAGCATCGGGTCGTCGTCATGCAGACGCATCTCACCGGTTACCGCCGGTGTTCAGGAGAGGCGGGGCTGAGTCAACTTCGTCCGCATGGGCGACAGAGTGAGATGCAAGGAGGGATTGGGGGCGGCGAGGTGGGGGCGGCAGGTGGTGATGGGCAGTGTCTGGCTGGATACAGGCGGTGGTGGGCAGTGCTGGCTGGATACGCCGGCCGTCGCGTCTTCGGCTTCATTCAGGGGGTGCGCACGGCGCGCGGTGGCGGACCATGTCTATGACAAAACAGGTCAGATGCGGCTTCATTCCAAGGCCCGAAACTAGTCCACGCACCTTTTTCGAGGTCGAGCTCGCAGATGAAATCACCCGCACGAATGATGATGGGTGCACGCGTGCTCCGGATCAAACAGGGTGCTTGCCATGGCGGTCTCGAGAGCTATAGGCTGCATTGCAAGTTAGGAAATGCCGAGGGATGGGCGCTTATATACACAGAGATGGGCGCTTATATACGGGGACGGGCGCCTATACACAGGTATGCTCTCTCTTGTTAGCGCCCACCTCAGTATCGCGCTCTGTGCTCCATCCTGGAT